AGAACATGAATGTCCTGGCTGCTGGAAGCAGCTGGGCCTCTTCACCCCACTCAGTGTGCTGGGAGAAGCCACTGGGCCTCTGCATCCTGTGATTCTGGTGGAATGGTGGGGAAGGACTCAACCCAGGCACTCCCTTCGCGCAGCGTCTGCTCTGACCAATGCTATAGGTTTGTTCCCTCCTGTGAAGTCTCCAGGGACAGAGGGGACAGATCTGGAGGACCTTCAGCATCACCTGACAGAGCCTGTGCTCATCCCTGTCTCGTGTGGCAGCCACCTGGCTCGGTCCCCAGCAGGCTGTAGCTGTCCCTGCTGGGGGTGAGCAGCCTGGGAGGAAGGGCTGGGGAAGCTCACAGGCTGCTTTCTGAGCTCTGCTGCAGCCCTGCTGCTCCTCCTCTCTACCCCCAACTGAAGGTGGAGTGACCTCAGCCCAGCACCCCTGTGGGCATGGCCTAGCTCTAAAGTCTCCCCCTGATGACAGACAGAGTCAGTTTTTAGGCCCTCCAGACAAGCTGAGACTTCCCACCCACCTGTGCCTCAGGGACAGAGAGCACAATGCTTAGCACAAACAGACATCTGTGGCCCTGGGATCCTTGAGTCCCATCATGAAGACAAGCCTCAGCCTTGTCACACGGCCAGACATCTACCTTCTGTCTTCCCGCTGCACTGGTCCTCTCTCCATGTCACCGTGCTGGCTCCTACTCCCCCTCCCTCTCTGCAGACTTCTGCTCACCCTCCATGCCCAGCTCCTTCCTCTCACCCCAGCCCACATCCCTTCCTTCCTGTGTGAAGGGAAAGGTTAAGTGGAGACATGCTTACCCTGTCTGTTGCGATAGAGATGCGGCAACTTTCTCCCCTAATCAATCTGTCAGGCATGATTAGGCTGCCATGAGACTCAGGTTGTTCACAGCCCAACAGGCTGACAGCTCCCAGCACTGCCAGGGCCCATGCACGCATAGACTCACACACAGACACTCGGCACAGGCACACACACATGTGGGCACACGCACAGACCTTCACATGCACAATGCACATGTGTGCATAAGCCTGCAATCTGTATGCATACAGACACATGTAACCATGTTTAACACACATGCATACACGTGGCACATAAGCACACATGTCTCCCACATGCACTACACAAGCACACATGGTACACACATACGTTTTGCCAAGATTGGGTCTGGGGCCTCACTGTTGCAACTGGGAAATCGTGTATTACAGGGGAGGCCAACTTTCAGGTATCATGGACCCCCCAGTCACTTCTTCATCCATTCGAGAGACACATACAGGGAGCTTGCAGGCCAGAAGGGAACACGGCCCCTAGGAAACTTAATAAACTAGCGAAGGGTAGAGCATGATAGAAAATGCTACCTGCTGAGAGGAGGGTCAGGAGAGGGCTGTGCTCAGGGGCCGACAAGTAGAAGGAACTGAACCAAATCCTCTTGTCTGGTTGCTGCTCAGCACTGGGAGTCAAAGTTCAAGACTTCTCTGTCTCTGAAAAGTGTGTGACCTTGGATAAGTCACTTGACTTCTCCTTCCTGTGTTTCCTTATTTGTGCACTAGAGTTATAATGCAAGTTGCTTCTCATAAGGTTGTTGGGGGAACCTCTTAGAACAGCACCTGGTGCCAGGTGAGTGGTCAGAGGTTTCCCACCTAGAAATAATCCCATGAAGGCGCTGTCCTCACTGGGTGCTGGGGCTCTGGAGGATGCAGCATTAACACAAGTGGACAGACAAGCAGTGAGTTGAGGGGACCCAGCAGGTGGGTTGAGAAGTATGTTTGGAAGAGGTCAGGAGAGTTGACCTGGAGAGGTGAGGCCTGCAGCCAAAATATCTGCTGACAGATCAGGCCAGAATTGAGTTTCATCCCCTAAGGATGCATCCTATACAGAAACCTGCATGAAAGCACCACATGCGGTAGCACAGATTAGCCAAACAGCTTCTGTTGGGGTCTGGGAACTTGGGGGGAGGGGTCCCCAGCACAATTCACTTATCCTTTCCCTGAAGTTCCCTCTTCTTTCCTCCTTTTCACCCCCATTTCTTTTCCTTTCCTCCCACACCCCCTCCAGCACAGAGATCCCTAAATGCAACAGAACCACTGCCAGTAAACTCACCCTGTGTAGACACCTATAAATAAGTCAAGTGGAAAATGACGCAAACAGAATTAGGACAGCCTCAGTTAACACTAGGCTCTATGGTCCTTGGCAGTCCTGGTCAGCATCTAACAACCCGCTCTCTGACCCAGAGCTGCTCGAAGACCCCTGGACTATCTGTGGCTGTCCACACCCAAGGGGTTTCTGTAAAAGCTGCCCAAGCTCATGACTATTGCTGATACTGATGTGAGTGGGGATTCACAGACTCTCCCAGTCTAAGGGGGGAGACACAGCCCTGCCTCTGGGAGCCCCAGTCTGAGGGGAGATACAGCCCTGTCCCTAGGGAGCCCCAGTCTGAGGGAGACACAGCCCTGCCTCAGGGAGCCTCAGTCTGAGGGGGAGACAGCCCTGTCCTCAGGTTGCCCCAGTCTGAGGGGAGACACAGCCCTGTCCCCAGAGACCCCCAATCTGAGGGAAACACAACCCTGCCTCAGGGAGCCCCAGTCTGAGGCCACTGGAGAAAGGAATGAAGACCCTGAGAATGAAGGATAAGTGAATTGTGCTGGGGACCCCAAGTTCCCAGATCCCAACAGGAGCTGTTTGGCTAACCAGGTGAGAACTCCCTGTGACGGTGCCTCCAGTGTTATTACTGCAGGTCTGGGAAGAACAGACAACAGGATGTCAGGCTCTTGGTGGATCTGGATCACTGGGGCTGGAGCAGCTGCGTGAGAGAGCTTAGCGTTGCCTCATCTTCCCTTCACAGGAGGCTGTTCTCTCCAGAGGCTTTTCATGCCTTCATGCTGTTGGCTCTGGTTTCACAAGACTTCCCCATGGGAGCTTTCAATGGCCCATCTTCTCTGTCATGCCTCTCAATACACGTGCAGTCCCCTCTGGGAAGCTCTGGGACTCTGCTGCCCTTATCCTTAGCTTAGTGCCTGGCACAGGGGGAGCACTTAGGAACACAGTGTTGGGTGTATACCTGGTTTCTGGAAGTTAGGCCACGCTAGAGCTTGGTATTGGATGAGGAGAGAACTGGAAAGCAGACCACTCCATGAGCTCGGAGTCTGAGCAGGGAGGGCAGCAGAGAACCAAGTGGAGACAGCGGATGGATAGTGTCAAGGCCATCTGGGAAAAGGCAGGATAGTGTGTCATGCTGCTTCATGAATCAGCTGGTCTGTGGGGTTTCCCAAAGAGCTGGGCCCTCATTTAACAAGGTTGCTGTAGAACCCATATTATACAAAGAAAGTATTGACAGGAATTTTTAAGAAAGGCAGACCCACAGAGGAGGCTTTGGGAGTGACAAATGAAGAGGCCCCATCAGGGATAGTCCCTCCGTGGCAGTAATAAGGAATCTGAAAACAGTTCATACAGCAGAGGGGTTGCCACAATGTGGAGGCAAGTGGGGACTTTAAGGGAAAGGAGTTTCTGTGGGTTCTTCTGGACTAGTGGGTGATTGAAGGAGAAAAGCAGATGGGAGGAAGAGAAGGGAGCAACTGCAGGAGCAGGGAAACCACCTGGGATGTCCTTTCTGGAATTCCATTTCCTCCAGACTAGCCCCACTAAGCAGATACAGTTTTAAAGGTGTATCAGTCAGTCGTTGTCACAATATGCTGTGTGACAAACCACCCCAGGATTTAGTCGAATAAAACAACATTCACTTATTTTCACATTTGTTTTCTTCCTAACTTCTTCCACATTACGCCCATCAAGATTTACATTCTCTGCTCCTGAATCTGAGCTGAATTTAGTGACTAACCTGTCATCAACTGTGAAGTGGTCTCTCTCTCTAGATTTTTTTGTTAAGCAGATAATGCTGCTTTCATTTGATATTCTGTTACAAAGAGCTGAAAGCAACCCAATGCATGCAAAAGTATTTTAAGTCACATCCAACACCAGGAAGAGAGTTTTAGACAGGGGGCCATCCCCCGGAACATGCCATCCACAGCCAAGCAGTGGATCCAGTGGAAATAGTTCTTTTGGTTATGACCAGTCTTTCAGTAGCTCTGCCTCCCCCTTCTCCAGCTCTGCTCATCCAGAACTCCCGCAGGCTTGCTGTGCACCCCCACTCACAGGACCTATAGTTCCACTGGTGTCTCCTCGCTTAAATCCAGCAGGAGTGTCTCACTTGGGGCTGAACCGCTAAGCAGATCATGGTGCTATACTCCAACCATCCAGGAACCAGCCAGCAGTTTGGTGCTGCTCTTCTGAGATGAAGTTGGAACCACAGGCCTCAGCCCTTAGTGGAAAGCCCCCATCTCCATGGGTATAAGTACAAAATACACAGAAATTTGTCACATTGTAGCTGCCAGGACAGGGATCTATAGCAAAGAAGTGGAGAAGTAGAAGGCTCTGGACCACCAGACTCTGCAGGGGATGCAGTCAGGGGATCCCCAGCGCTAGAGAAGAGGTGACCAAAACTTATGTGATCTGCTTATTTCTGGTGCTGGATTCTTCTATCCTTCCCTGTGTATTTATAGCTGATTGTGTAGCGTGGAATGCTATCTTTCTCTGTCCTAGGAGCCTGCATTTCTTGTTTCTACCTCTTGCTTGGCATGTGCATGTCTGACTGTCTGTCTTTCCACCTTTATCTCCATCACTATCAATCTGCGTGGCTCTCTCTCTATATACCTTGTTCCTCCTGGTCTTTTTCTCTTTCACGCACACGGAACACTCAGTAAACAGGAGTCAAGTATTTGCTGACTTTCTGGGAGTACACATTTGTCTCTTCCAGCGCTTCATAAAGTCTTTCTTCAGTTTTTAAACTCTTAAATATTTTAGGTCAAGGGTGATAAACAACCGCAAATGGCATTTGAAGGCAGATGAAATTTTCTTCTCACAACTGATAAGTACTTTAGTTCTCTGGCCTTGGCAAAACACAGATTCCCCTTCTCTTTCCGAATAACACGTTTTCATTTGCTGCAGAAGCTGAAATTGTGCAATGTCATTTTCCTTAATTTCAACAAACTGAATACATTTGCTTGGGGCCTGCATGAGGACTTTGGAAAGCGATTCATACGTGGGGACTGAGAAGAATTCCGCCTGCCCCCCACTCCTCTAGCTCTCGCCAGCCTTGGGGCAGACCTGGGCACAGAGGTAAGGGCACTGAATGCAATGGCCACCATTCACACTTCCTTGGAGAAGGTAAATGGTGGGGTACTCCCCTCCTCAGTCATCTGCCCCACTGCATGATTGGCAGACGTCCCCCACATGCATTTGCCCCCACTTCCCCATCTGGGAGCTGAGCTGTTGCAATCTTAAACATTCAGATGACTAATGTTGGAGCAGAATTCACAGTGAACTCAGAGGGGGCAGGAAACTTTCAAGCTTGGCCCCCTTCCCCAATCCCTGCTAGGGGGATGACATTTTCCCCAGGCAGAATTGCTTTGCAACATCTGCATCCTGGCTTTCTTCAGCTCCATTTCTGCATGTTTAATTGAGCTTGAATATTTCAGTTAAACCTGGGGGGGTTCCAGGCTCTGTACCCTGACACCTGGATGTGGGGAGGGTGAAGGGGGCAGGAGGGGATGGTGAAGGTCACATGCCTCCATCTGGCTAGCAGAGCAAATCCAAAATGGAAGACTTTGGGGTTTGGTTTGGGGCTGAGACAGAGAGGCCCCTGGACAAACAAGGGAAGCTGGCAACTCCCCTCTTGCCTTCTCTGCCTTACCCTCTCTTCATGTGAGAGAACAGCAAAAGGACAGCGGGGAGTTCAGGCTTATGAAATCCATGGAGGCTCTGTTCCCTTAGTTGAGCTTAAGTGGAGGTGCGGTTGTCTCTATGCAGAGTCCTCGGGGGGCCAGGGGTGCTCCTCTGTTTCCATCAGCCAAAGGATCCTGCCCGGATCTGCACGACTCCCAGACACGGGCCAGTGGCAGCATGCGGCTGAAGGAAGTGGGTTTGTAGCCAGGTTCTCAGAGGATGGCTACTCCCGAATGTCAGGGCCAGAGGAACATTGGCTCCATTGTGCAACCTTTTTGTCTTCTGCTGGGGAAACCAAGGCCTGAATTAAACAGAGCCAGGTCCAGAGAGACTCAGGAACTTGCATGGTAAGCAAGTTTGGCGAAGAACTGGTCTTCGGTGCTTGCCGCCTCTAATTCCAAACCCCACCCTCTAATCCATATTCTCAGCTCTGACTGAGAACTTAAAAATACCCAGGCCGGAGCTGAGGCCCAGACTAATTAAATCTGGATCTCTAAAGGGAGAATGTGGATATTGGTATTTCAAAAAAAAAAAATCTATGTATTGAGATATAACATTCTTTGAGAAAAGCATTCATATCCTAAGTGCACACACTTGGTGAACGTTCAGAAACAGAATCCATTCATGTAGCTAGTGTTAAAATTCAAGAAACAGCATCACAGGCCACCAGGAAACCCCCCATGATCCCTCTCTGTCTCCCCCTGAAGCTAAGCGACACCCTGACTTCTGACATGGCAGAACGAGATGTCCATACAAATGCAATAAAACGCATGTGGTCTTTGCATGCTTGGCTTCAGTTATAAACATCGTGTTTGTGAACACCATCCAAATCGCACCTCGTAATTATATTTGTTCCTTCTTATTGTGTTCTAGAATCTCATGGTGTGAACATGTCAGCCATTATTTATCAGTTCTCTGATTGATGAGCATATGAATGAATCGTTCCTGGTTTAGCTTGCTGTGGAGAGCGCTGATCGGAACATCCTTGTTGGTGGGTTGAACACTCCTTTCTGTGGGTATGCATCTCAGAAACTGGGCCGGGGGATGTGTGGTCAGTTCAGGTACTGCCAGGCAGTGTCCTGTGTCATTGGGCAATGCACACTTCCCAGGGCAGGGAATGAGAGTTCTGGGTGCTCCAGACCCATCAGGATTGGGGACTATGTGTACTTTTCACTTGAGGCAGCCTGTGGGGTGTGCAGTGGAATTCACACAGTGACTTCATCATCATTTCCCTGATGGCTAGTGAAGCCAAGCACCTGGACTTGTTTATTGGCCATTTAGGAGCCTCTTTTGTAGAGTGTTTGCTAAGTCTTTCTCCAGGCATCTGTATTTTTTTAAGGCTCCCCAAGGGATACTAATACTGAACCTGGGTTGAGAATTTGTGTAGCTTAGCCATTATGGTAAGCAGCTTTGGGCTTAGGGAGTCAGAGTTGGTGGATCCAGGGTTGACTCTGGGTGTGTGTATGTGTGTGTGTGGGAGGTGGGGGACAGCAAAGTCACCTGCAGGAGCTGTAATCTTGGAGTCCAGGTGCCCCTTGGGAGCAGCTAAGCTGGAATCTTCTCGAAGGCCTTCTTGTCAAGAGAGGGTAAGAAACTCCTGCTACAGGGAGAAGAAAGCACCACGTGGCAGCCATGGGAATATGCTGCCGCAGTGGGCAGGCAACAATTGGACAGAGCCCCGTGGAGCTGACCCCAGGAGCTGCCTGTTGTCAACAGAAGGCTCCCTCTGATTTAACACCCTCTGAATTAAAGGGCTCGCCGCAGGCCCGGCCCCATTGGAGCTGTCTTTATTAGGAACAAAATAAGGGAAGGTCACTGAACCACATAAACCAGAAAAAGTGACATTAGATATCGACTGAAAGAGAGGGGGATTAATGATGGTTTGTTGACAGGGAGGCAGGAGCTGGCCCAGTCACCCCCACAAGTGGAGACCTGGAAGCAAACATTTCATTTTGACATCTGCCAGCATAGCCCAGATAATCAGATTTCTCTGGGAGGACGAAGAAGAGACATCAATAATAAAGGGCAGATTTATCCTCCCGGCCTTCTGAGTTTAGCATGGGCTGGGCTTGTCTTCCCATCACGGTGAGACCCAGACATTGTCACTGTCACCTTCACTGTCCGCAATGCCCCCTAGGTTTGTTCAGAACAGTGGATAGGGTGACATTGCCACAGACTTCTGCTTCCCTTGGCTCCAGGGTTCTCGGGACCCCAGCCGAGGTGGCAGCTTCCCGAGGCCATCTGTCTTCACCTGGACAATCCACAGTCCTTACTAAGACCTATGTGGGGCTGATGATCCCATGCACTGGAACGACCACCATCCACCATGAATGAGGCCCCCTTGAGGGACAAACTCCAGGTCATGCCGCAGTTGTCAGGACCCATTATCAAAGACATCTACAGGTTCCCTGTGCACAGACTGCAGATTCCTGAATAATCTGTATTTTCCCCTAGTTTTACATTTTCCAACCTGCAGAAAAATCAGAGGGTTTCTTCAATCCATAAGACCATGTTAAAAGTAGTTGTGTAGGGCCTCCCTGGTGGCGCAAGGGGTTAGCACTATGAAGCTATCCGCAGCTACTGCAGCATAAGTTCAATCCCCAGCCAGGGAACAACCCACATGGTGCAACTGGCCTCTCCTCACTCACCTGCTGCTCCCCTCTGCCCATTGCTGACAGAATGGAGGTGTCTCTCCTATGGAATGCAGGGGTTTGTTCCCTCTCCCGAGGACCATTGGTGAGGACAGAGTGAGTGTGGAGTCCATGATCAACCTAAACCACAGCGCAGATTAGAGATATAAAAAGCTTCACACATGCTGTGCCTTCAACATCGCTCCTGCAAGGGTGAGTCCCACCCACCTCTCTCTGCAGCCACTCGGGTGACTGCTTCCATCACAGTGTGTGCTGCAGAGTCAGGGTAAGACCTAGGAGGACTTCTCCAGGCTTTCACTCAAAAACCAGGTTAAAAAATCAAAAAGCACACTTGCCACCTTGTTGCAAAAGAGAATCTAGAGGTTTTGGGAGGCCACTTGAGGAGCTTCCCAGCATCATTGGAAACCGGCCTCCACATGGGGAGGGCAGGGAGAGACCAAAGAATAAGCCAGACCACTCCGGATTGGTAGGGGACAATTCTAATGAGCAAGAAAACTTCCTTATGAGTCTTGGCACCTACCCAGCAAATTTTAAATGTTTATATAAAAGCCTTAGTGAGGGCCAGTCATGGATACCATCTAGATAGTCTTGACAATGCATTACTATCCCCAAGGCTGTGTCCATTGGGGAACTTCTGGGAGCAGGGAAGGCAAGCAGATCCCACATTTCAAGGACAGGGGAGGGGGAGAGGAGCCTCTGATTTCCTGGGTCCCGATCTCAGGTCAAGTAGCAGTCACTTGCAATCATCCTCTCATTGACCTCTTACAAGAGGGCCTTTCCAAAGCATGTTCAGCGTAAGAGGATAGAATAAATTAGGCAGCACAGACAATGGGAAAGTAGGGTGAAGGAGGCAAAGTTGAAAGGCCTGGCTCCCCAGAGAGCAGAGTCTGAGAGGGACATTAGTGTTAAGAAGTTATCAGATGTGTTTTGGACTCGACACCTGTGGAAGGGATAGAAGAGTAGCAGGATGTGCAGGAGGAGAAGCTGGGCCTTGATCCAGTCACTACCACAGCTCTGGAAATAGAACAGGAGCAAGGAGATGAGTCTATTTCACTTGCATGTGAATCAGTCTTTGGACTACTGGGGGGCAGGGGTGTGGCCTTGGGTAAGGCAGCTCTCCTAAGAAAAGGGTAGGCTGTCAGGCCAAATACATACATGAGGTGCCCAGTAAAGTCTGAACTTCAGATTAAAGACAACTACTTGTTTAGTATTGGCATATCTGAAATTTTGCAAGGATCATACTTACACTAAAATAAATATTTGTAATTTATTTGGAATTCCTTTTAGCTGAGTATTTGGTATCTTATCTAGTAACCCTAACCAAGGGTGAATCTGGGAGGGGACTCATTTGTGAGCTGCCAGCAGACCACACTCAGGGCACTTGAGAGATAGTGTGCCCTGAAGAAGGGATCTGCCTGGCACAGTATAACATCTACTATGTGTGTCCTAGGGCCTCCCCTGGTGGGGCAGGTGGTTGAGCGCTGTGCTGCGAATCTATCCGCAGCCTCCGAAGCTCCAGTTCAATCCCAGCCAGCCGGCAAGGATCCCACATGGCACAGCAGACCTCTCCTGTCACGCCTGCTGCTCCCCTCAGCAGTGTATTTCGTCAGTCTGCCTGTTCTGTTCCCTGCTCTGTCTCTGGTGAATCCTCTCACCGTCCCATGCATCTGGCCTGTACCCTGGTTCTTGTATAAATAAATAAATAAACCGTTAAAAAAAATCTACTACGGGTGTTCTAGATTTGCAATGATGGAGTCCAAGGTCAAGTCTCAGTTTTCTGGCAGCCAAAGAATAATCAATATTTAACTTTAATAGAGGCCTGAGACATTTTAAATCTTAAGGAGGAATGTGGATTGTTTCGGTCATGAAACGGGCTTTATCCAGCAGGCAAAGTGATAAAGTGGACATTTATTCTAAGAGGAGGTAGTTTGGTTAATGTTATACCTTGTGAAAAACAAGGCTTATTCACTCCTGTATCCATTCAACATAGTAAGGTTCTGCTGAGAACCATGTGTGGAGCTGGATGCTGGATGTGGTTGATGAGGCAAATATTTTTTTTCTCACTTTATTCTTCCAATTTATTATATTAGCTCATTCACTCATCTTTAAATAGAAGAAATTCTTTTTTTTAAAGAACCACTTTTACAATTTTTAAAATTATTTTTTACATTCTTGTTCATTTATAAACAATATTTGCTTTCCCTCACCCCCTCAGGTGTAGTTCCCATAGAATTTCCTTCACCAATGCACCCGTGCACCATCACCACAGACCCCTGTGCTCCTCTCTCCCTCCCTCTGAACCAGGCAAATATTACACGTGGCCTCATAGATAACAATCTACCCCATTGGGATTTAAGGCACATATCAGCAAATAAGTTTCCAGTGGAAAATTAATCCATTGCAGAGTTTGGCTAGACTTCCAAGTTGGGAAAGTTTCCATGTCAGTCAGAACTTAGGTTACACGGGCATAACAAAGAAACCCCCAAATAAAGTGGTCTAAATAAGATTGAAGTCTATTTTATTCTCACTTAAAAATCTTACAACAGGTCATCCAGGAAGGTAGAACTGCCTATGGTCCTTGCTCCTGAGTTTGTCAGGGATTCAAACTTCTTCTATCTTGATTCTCCAAGATAAAGTTCCCCTAATGCCTGTCCCCATCCCCACTGGTGAAGGGAGAAGAGAAGGCATGTTCCTTCACGGTAAGGGCATAACAAGAAAGTCACACACTTCATTTTTCTTCTCTTCCCATTGGTCAGTGCTTAGTCACATGACTATGTTTCCCTGCAAAGAAGGCAGGGAAATGATGTCATCATTGTCTGGGTGGCTCTGTGTCCAACTACCATGGAGGGGATCCATTTTAGTAATGATTTAAACAACAGGTTAATAAAGGAAGGAGATGGTAATGGTGTCTAGGGACTACAGGCTGTCTCACCCACTGACACTGCCAGGAATGAAGTACTGTGACTTCCTGATGTCTTCCACAGAAATTGCATGTGGAAATGAAAGTAGCTGTTGTACTGTAACCCACAGCACTGAGGCTGTCTCACACCAGGCTCCTAACAGTTTCTCTGATTTCCAAGGCATCCAAGAGATTAGATTGGATCACTTATTAAAGCCTAGCAGGTATGATTCTGATGAACTGGGACTGACTGGGTTGAGAGAACTGGGGCCAGCATGCTTACCCATCTTCCATCGCAGCTGACCATCAGCCCTCAGGAAGACACGGGAATGGGGCAGGGGTGGGGGCGGAAATCATACAAGAAAAAGGTGATCAGCGTGTTTAAGCTTGCCTGTTCCAAGTATGTTACATATATTTACAGACTTATTTAATGTTCACAACTGCTCTAAATTTTGCTTCAATTCCCTGGTCTAGGCCAGAAAACCAGAAGCAAAATTTGGAATCAATATTAAACAACAATATAGACTTAGCTGCGTTTATGGAACACACACCCAAGACCACAGTGGGACACACATTCTTTTCTAGTGCACGTGGGATATTCTGTAAGATGGACCATGTTCTGGGTCATGAAACAAGTCTCAGCGAATTTTTCAAAATGGGAAGTATATAGAATATACTTTCTGACAACTATGAAATCAAATTAGAAATCAAAAACAAAATATTTATAAAACTACAGATATTTGAAAATTAAACATTTTGCTAATGACTCACAAATTAAAAAGAAATCATAAGAGAAATTCAAAAATACTTCTGAGTGCATGTTAGTAAAAAAAATACACATTAAAAATCTGTGGGAGAAAGGTAAAGTAATGCTTAGAGGAGAATTTGTAGTTTTAGTCACTTATATAAGAGGAGAAATGTCTAAAATCAATTATTAAGGTTCCACTTTAAGAAACTAGAAGGAAGGAAAGACTATAACTAAGTATGGAAATTAATGAAGTTGAAAACAACACTAGAAAAATCACCTATCAAAAGCTACAATAAAACCTCTAGCCAGATTCACTAAGAAAAAAAAAAAGACACAGATTTCCAACAGCAGAAATGAAAAAAGACCATCACAATAGATATTAAATACATTAGGAAGATAAAGAAATAGAAGTGACTTTATTCCAAGAAACCTGACAAATTAAATGGCAAAATTCCTTGAAATAATGAAATCATTACAACTGAATCAAAAAGAAATAAAAAAGCATTAATAGTTCTACATTTACTAAAGAAATCAAATTCATAATTAAAACATTTCCACAAAGAAAATTTCAGGCTCAGGTGGTTTTACTGGTAAATTCTATCAAATACTCAAGGATAAATAATACAAATTTTAATCAAACTCTGCTATGGAGTGAATAGTATGTCCCCCAAATTCACATGTCAAAGCCCTGGCACCCCAATATCATAGTAATTGGGAGATTTGGGAAAGGGATAGCTTATACGAGGTGATGGGGGGGCCATCATGATGGGATTAAAGTCTCCCTCTCTCTCTCTCTCTCTCTCTTTCTCTTCTGTCTCTTTCCACCCCCAGACCCCCATGTGAAGACATGGGGAATGGCAATCATCTGAAAGCTGTGAAGAGAGCTTCACCAGACTTTGACCATGCTGGCATCTTGAGCTTGAACTCCTAGTGTCTACACTTCAGGACTAAATTTCTACTATTGAGCATTTTGTTATGGCAACCTGAGATGACTAATACAAACTCCCATAAAGTAAAAGAGATGTAAAAATGTTCTAACTCATGTTATGAGGTCAACATTCTTCCAGTACCTAAATGAAAGACAGTATAAGAGAATGAAAGTCATAGGTCAATTTGATCCCTCATGGACATAGACATGAACTTAACAAGCTATCAGCAAAATGAGTGCAGCTGTATACAAGTATTTATGTGACATCATAACTAAATAAGGTTTACTCCAGCAATTCCAGATTAGTTTAACATTCAAAAATCAATCAAGGTAATTTGCTATATTAATAGAATAAATGAGAAAAAGTATATCAGCAGTTGCAGGCAAGACATTTGACAAAATGCAATACCCAATTATATTAAAAACTCTTAGCAAATTAAAAATAGAAGGAAACTTCCTCAAATTGATTAAAAGCATCTACAAAATCTTATAGCAAACATCATACTTAATGGTTTGAGTTGTGTGCAATGCTTTCCCTCTTTTCAAGAATTGTGAAGGGTCTAAATTTTACCCTACTTGCAACCTAACCAGTTAGCCTGCCACAGTTTCAC